GTGTTTCAGAAGTCAGGCGCATTTTATTTGCATTATACTTGGTTAGAATTTACATGAATGCATAAATACGCAAAAATGATATTGTTTATATGCAACCTAAGACAACAAAATCCAGAATCTCCATGCCCTACTCATGTCAGAACTTAGATTAAAATGTGAATATGAGGTCTAAGAGACTGGGGTCCATCAAACTGCAATCTATAGAAAATGGATCTCGATACCCCTTAACTGTAGATTGGCAAGTGTCGGGATCCCTTTCATGTAGGTTGTTGGCAAGTGTCAGCATCATTTTGCTCTAAAACCCTAAAATTACTTTGACAAATAATTCCCTTTCCATTGGACTTGGGTCACTCCAGAATCAATCCCCACCTCTTTCGGATTTCCCTATGTCCCCCATGGCCCAAATCCGGTCTCTCTTTGGAGAGCCTCCATTGTTGCCACCATTTGGACCATCTGGATAGAGTGAAGCAATAGGACTTTCAAGGCGGAAAGTAGTTCGTCACAGCAATGTTTTGACAAAATCCTTGAACTTGTCACCTTCTGGGCTTCTCATCACAAGACTTTTCGAAACTTTTCCCTCTCGGCTTCTCTCCAGAACTAGCAGGCATTGCTGTATTTTGCAACCCATCAAACATTTCTTGGTCCTCCTTGTGGAGACCCCCCGACAGAGGAATCATCAAATTCAACTTTGACGGTTGCTCACTTGGCAACCTAGGCCCGCTCACTCCAACAGCCTCTCCTTCTCCATCCCCATTGGCCATGCTAACTCCATGTTTGCCGAGGCCCTGGCTCTCCTCGTCGGCCTCAAAAAGTTCAACCTTGACTGGGGTAATGTTTTGATTGTAGAAGGCGATTCCAAGAACACCATCTTATGGGCATCTGCCTCCACCCCACACACCTGGTGTTTGGGCCATCTTTTCGATGAAATTGCTCACATCTCCTACACCCACATCATCTCGTGGAAGCATATCTGGAGGCAAGCTAATGCTGACCCAGACTTTCTCGCCAGGCAGGGTGCATCCAACAATGTTTCAGAGGGGTCCCCCAGCACCTTTTTGAGCTATTCAAACCCTTTATATCCCTCCCCCTTGTGCCGGATTGTATAGTTCTTTTGGGATTTTTTGGGCCCATTGTGGGTTTGTATTGGCCCCCACACTGTGTTGGGGGGCTTATTTTTTGGATTACAGTCACTACTTGTAATTCTCTTATCTTAATACAATACAGTTAACAGAATAAAAATAAAAAAACAATTTCCTTTTTCTTCATTAAGAAGAAATTAGTAGGTGTTCAGAAGCTTAAATATAACTATTGGTTTTACTGGAATGCATCCAAACATCCTCTTTCTATCCTACAAGGCCCCACTTCTTGGGCTTCTTTCTTCTCTTCTTTAATGTTTTGCAGGGGATTAATGGCTACTAAGGAGGTCAACTTCCTCAAAGGGAAAAGAGGTCATTAACTTGGATAAATTAGTCAAGTCTTCCTCTTTTACCTGTGTAAATTCTTTTTCTTTGAGGTATGAGGTCATACTTCAATTTCTCTTGCATTCGGGGAGATGCCTTGCAGGGTACAGAGTTTCCTCCTTATCCCGGTTGGTTTAGAGATCAGTTCTCTACTGCCATGGATTAGGTGGAACTAATTCCCTTCTTGTTGGGCTTATCTATAGCGGGAATCCTTACAATGGCGAGTTCCCAAGTTAATTTAATTCAATTGAGGCTCTTGCTAAGAGATAATTGTGGGTCAAATACATACACAATTATTAGAAATCTCAGTGAGGGCAAATATCTAGAGTTCACAATCCATGGCTGTGAAACCATGAACCATAGCTACTCCGAACCCCAGAGCAGCCTGCTCCAAGCTTTTCAAGATGCATTTCCAGGAACAAAATAGTCCAAATCAAGCAAAAGAAAGAGTACATTAATTAAAAAAAGGTAGAAAGAAGGGAAAATTGGTTACCTGTACAAACTATATGAAATTGTGAATATATGGTGACCTGTGTGTCAACCGGTGATAAAGCCATCAGTAAATACCAGCCAAGACCGCGGGGGGTAATATTAGGGCCATGCCTGAAGGCATAGGCAAGAGGGATGCGAGATGAAGAAGCGTTACTGCTCCCCGAAGGAAAGAGTACTAGCATAACCAACCAAAAGAATAATAACCTAACCCTCTCCTCAAGAGTGACTTGGTCTTACACATAACAAGATGGTCCAAATTGATCCAACTCACCGAAGAAGGGAATGAGACTCCTAGTAACCTCCCACAAGCAGGGGCACGGTTGTTGGTCGAGATTGTAGAATTGTACATGGTCCTTGAAAGATGCAACATTTAAGGAGTGAGAGCTTCCACCTCACCCCTCCTCTTGTAGCAGTTCCTAGTTGACAAACTACGAACTGCTACAGCCACCCGAAACTTTCGATGCTAGGTGTCGAAAGTTCCGGTTATCAAAACAGCCTCAAATTTACAAATGTCAATCCTTTTCATTTCAAATCAATTTTCCAATTCAATATTGAAACCCGGGATCAACAGCATGGCTAAACCTCGCATTGGCCAAGCAATGACACTCAATGAGAGATTTTTCACAATGCCTCGAAGTTGATATCCTATGTGCCTTGAAAACAGGTTAGCACCCTCTTACCATCAGGCAATAGGAATTCAAGCAGCTTTCTCTATTATTCTCTTGAACCTAGGATCAGTGCATGTTGAAACCTCCAACATGTGTGACACTTAGTTGACATCCAAGGTGCTTTGAAAAAAAATGTCAACACCTTTTGACCATCAGATAATAGGAATTAAGTTATCTTCTCTAGTACTTTCTACTCCATTCTTTGTCTTTGGATGTCTACGCCTTTCACACTCATCCTGCCATAGCGTGCAGCATGGGTGCCAACGAGGGAAAACTGCAGACACCCATTTAGGATAAGGAAATTTCCAAGTGCCAAAACCCTAAAACCCTATGAACTATACCCCAATTATCTCCATTAACCTACCATTGACCTGAAATACACCCAGAAGCAAGACCCTGAATCAAGGAGCGAACGAGGGGGAGGGGTAGGCACTCATGGTGTTTGCATAAGGCACGTACAACTACCTACGAATCAATGTTATCCCAGTTTTCAACGAGGCATGAATGCAACATGAAAATGGATGAATGTCATATCATGGTAAAAATGGGTACCAAAATTCTCACCTTATATTACATACATAAAACATAATATCACTTGCTCAAAAAAAAAAAAAAAAACCCTTATTTAGATTAGACTTGCTAATACAGTCTAAGGACTAAAGAGTTTTGTATCTAGTAGGTTGGGAACCTGCAGACAAATATCATATGGAGTATTATTGCTGATTGGATCTATTGATTCTTGAAATAGGAAAGACAAACCAAAAATCGTATGAAACATAGACGAGAAGGAGGTCAATATGATGTGGACTGGAACCCCTTAGATTATCTGCTAGGGTGCAACATTTCTATGTTCAATATTAGAAAATCATTTTTTCTTTGTAAGCGATTACATTTTTCTCTACATGACAGAAAGGACCATTGCTGGTTTTGGATAACTTAAAGCAATGAAGCTTTTTGATGCCTGGTGTAAGAACAGATGAAATGGAATAAGATAAAATGTAAAGAAACTCTAGCTAGTGGGTCATCTCCTATAGGAAGATTCATGTTTTTACCATTAAAATAACCACTGGTCATAATCTTTAATTTGGGAAGATAATGTAGTCTCAAATGAATGTCAGGTGAAATTTTTTTTATATCTTGTAGTATATTGATGGAAAAAGTTTTCCGGGCTGAATTGCCACATGAACATACTCTAGCAAGTCATTATTTAAAACAATGAGACGAACAATTGAGGAGAACAACTTCAGAAAAGAAACAAGGAAAAACTGAAAAGAACACGAATATAAAGCAAAAAGCTATCCATTTCCATTTTGAATAAAATTGTTGGATTATTTGATGCCTGAGACAAAATTTTGATATCAGAATTACTGAAGAGCAAGTATTTAATTAAACTAAGTGTTTAAAAATGACATCTTCCAGAATACAAATATTGATTGTTCAAAAACAGCTGAATACCAATGATTGAGACTAGAAAATGTAAATAAGAAGACATTATCATCAAAGCTATTGAAAATAAATCAAAGTATAATTGGATAAAACTGATTTGAATAGCTTTACATAAAATTTCTAACAAGGTTAAAAATTAACTGCTGTGAAACATATACTGAAATGTTTTTTTTTTCCCAATAAATACTGATAGAGCATCGAGTTGTTCTTGATTGTATGCATTGCGTATCTTGCAAGTTGGTGAACTAGTAGATAACCACATGCCCAAGCGCTGTTAGCAAATTTCTCCTTCTTCCCTTAAACCATGATCAGAAAATGCTCACTTCAAGAGAGACTAAAATAGGAGAAGAATAAATCCAGAATCCTAACCCTAGAGTCCTATACACAACCACTGCACCTGGAAACCTCATTTCACACCTTAAACCTTGACCCTAGTTCCTTCGCCAAACACAGAAACCTAACCCTAAAAACCAAGTTCTACCACCAAAGAAATCCATAAATTATCAAAATTAAAAGCCTCAAAGGCGAGAAATTTCTAATAATTACAAGTAATTCAAAGCAAACAATTGCTTTCTGACCCTACAAACCAAGCTCCTTAGACCCAACAAACCCCACAAAATTGTCAAAATCCACAAAAAAGTCAATAAATTCCAAATAATTACATGTAATTCAAAGAAATCAATGTCTCTTTCACCGATCATCAGTAGGGAGATAGAGGAACAAGAGGACGAAATGTTACATATCACACTTTAAGAAAGAGATAAAGAGGGAGAGAGAAAGAGAGAGAAGGAAACGAGTAAAAGTTACATGTCCTCATCAAACTTTCAGAGAGAGATACTTAGATAGAGAAAAAGAAAGAGACCAGGAAAAGTTGCATGTGCTCATGAAACATTAAGAGAAAGATACTCAGATGGAGAAAAAGAAGACTGTCTACCTCTAGACCTCGTCTTCGTGGAGAAGCATATTGGGTATACCCTTGCTCACAGGGAACCTTCGACCAGTTTCAGGACATATTAGGGCTCCCTCTTCCAAGTGAAGTTGCAGCAGAGCATGGTGAAACTTCCTGAGAAATTCTTCGTTGTCGAGCATTGTGGCCTCTGCATTTTCAGGAAGGTCTCCACATCCCATGGCCACAGCTGCATCTAAAAGGGCTTTCCACTCTATCTTTGGGAAAATATTCTTCAGAAAATCGCCGTTGAAGGCGACCTCCTTAACCACCATTTTCTCCACCTCCAATTGAAGGGGGAATCCATTTGTCACGCCCTTTATGTTGGAGGATAGCATGTTGTGCGTTAGAAGTCTCATCTCTCTCTCTCTCTGTCTCTCTCCTATGGTTCACTGCCCCACTCCTTGGTAGGCCTGAACGCTGCAAAAAAAATGGCAAAACTCCGTCGCGGGAGAAGTTCCATTTATTGTACTTTATGAAAACCAAATAAAGCGGCTAAAAAATCAATTTTAAACACCGACGATAAATTTTGAAACTCAAAAAATCATTCAGATCTTATGGATATTTGAAAACGGCAAAATGAACGGTTAGATAATCCGTTAAAGAATAAATTACTTTTTAGATTTTGAAGTCCTAATTTTTTTCACAATCATAGTGTTCAGATATGAAAGTTTTCGAATACTTGTATTACAATTGTGATATATTATTAGGTAAGGCTATACTTATTTTTCGAATACTTGTATTACAATTGTGATATATTATTAGGTAAGGCTATACTTATTTTGATAGGGCTTGTGGCCTATCAAACCAATTTTTTTTATTTTTAATGGATGCAATATGCTTTATTAATAGTAATATATATATATATATATATATATATATATAATTATAATATGAGACAATTTATCTTTGGTACAATGTGGTCACAATTGTTCTCGATCTGGATATGATATTCGGTAGCTGCAATAATTTTATTGACCAAGCTCGAAATTCAAAAGAAATTTACTCGAACTTTACGACACATCCAAACTATCAAATTTTACATTGGATGATTGTAAGGAATTGTTAACTTCATGTATGAAAGGTAAATGGTCTAATCGTATATAATCCCTTCAAAAAATGTGAAGCCTCACCTCCAAGAGTTATCTAGAAAATACTTAAGGCATTAGAAAATTTGAAGTTTAAAAAATAGGGTGCAGTTTGTATAGAGCCTAGGCTCTAAACAATCAAATTAGAGCTTACCTTCAAATAGTATCGAAAAATATGGTTTCAATACTAGAATTTTTTGTGATAGCTTTAGAATATATTGTCATTTTTATTTACAAAGTTTAAAATTTTAAAAATAGTGTAATCTATAGATCTATGAAAACTTGAAAATCTTGAAAAATGACGGTCCAAAAATGGGTTATAAAATGCACTATTTCCAAACCTTGAAATCCATTTTTTTTCTCATGTCTATGCATCTTGATGTCAAGATGATCAATTTGAGGGTATTTGGACATCAAAACAACCTCTTATAATGATGGCTCTAATTTGATTGTTTAGAGCCTCGACTCTATATAAACTTTTCCCTAAAAAATATACACAGTGAATATTTAAAAATAGATGAAAGTTGACCGGCTAGATAATGTGTTGCAATATATATTATTGTAGGACATAAAATCCATTTTTTTTACAACATAATAATCAAGATCGAGATTATCGCTTTGAAAGTCTTTCGATGTTGAAAGTGCAATTTTCAATAAATTCTAAGGTGAGGTTCTTCTTTTTCCTAATAAGGCTTGGACTTTTTATAACTGTTTCCTTTATTTTATTATGGAAAATGTTTTGAGAAGGCTGCAATTTAGCCACCCACCATTTAACTTAGTTGGACAATGGTGATTGAAAAGTTGTCCACTTAAGCTGGACGGTAGGTGGCTCAAGTTACTCTACGGGGTAGTAATCGTGTCCAATAAGTAAAACCTCACCTCCAAACTCATCGAAAATTGCAGCTTTGTTGTCGGAAAAACTTAACATTGATCATCTCGGCCTTGACCATTATGGTGATAAAAAAAATAAAAATTTAAACGCTAAAAATAGTGTATACTATAGCATATTATCTAGACCATCTATTTTACCTTAAAAATAAGTATTCACAGATCCGCAAGATATGTGCATTTTTTTAGCTTCTCATAATCACTGTCGAACTTGATTTTAGAGCTATCATAGAGATTTCCAATGCCTAAAGTGCTTTTGGGATGAAGATTCGAAGCAAGGTTTGACTTTATTTCCATAAAGTTTGGGCCTTATAAAAATTGCTTGCTTTTACTTTCAGTACCATATGATTGTCCAATTCTTAGAGAGAAAAATCTAGGTATTAGAAAACTCAAAATTCAAATGTTTTTTTTTTTTAATAATCATCTGGTAATTGTTAAGTAGTTTACAAAAGTTCATAATGAAAAATTCCTACCAAGTCTTCTAATCAAGAGAGTAGATGTACACTATGATCTAATGCTTCTTGTTGAAGATCGATGATATGCTAAAGATACACATCTATAGATAAACGCATGTGTCAATGGCTTATTCGAGATAAATGAATAATTGGTCAACGTTTTATTTATTATTATAAGGCAAAAGATATTATGCTTCCAAAGAGTATACTGTCTAATTCCTCTTTAGGTGAAATTATAATTTCAAGACCCTAAATGTTTTGGGATGCAACCTCTTCAACCCATAGATTAACCTCAATAAAAGAAAATTTCCAAATTATACTCTATATACATAAAAAAAATAATGTCTCAAGATTGAATAAAGACCGTCCAATTTTTAGAGGGTAAGATCAAAGTGTAGAAAACTGAAAATTCAATTTCTTTTATTTTGAGAATAATCAATTAATGATTCTTAGGTGGTTCCCAATATTTCAAATTGAAAACATCCTCCTAGGCAGGTCTTTTGACCGAGAGATTAGATGTGATAGTATACACACTCCAATATCAATGAGCCAAATGAGTTGATTGCACAAGAGATTGATTGGATAGTCATATAGTCATATATGTGCATGTGTCTAGTATATATTTTTCTAATAGATTAAGAGTTACCTCTTTTAAAGTGTCTATACCTGTAAGATTGAAAGGCCCAACATAGCAACTAGGTATAGGTATGGGGGTGCTATCGCTACGATCCAACCCCTTTCCCCTTCCCGTATAATGTTTGTAAACTACGTATGATTTTCAAATAGCTAAATTCCAAACAGCATCCACTTTTCCAAGTTTATTCAAAATAAGAAATAATATCTAAATTTTGAAATACGTGGTAAGCAATCATAATAAGGAGTCATATTTTAGTATGAACAAAGACTAAATCTACAAATTATACAAACAGACACAGAATTTACGCAATTTCGGGTCCATCTATAAGCTATCCAAACAACGGCCCAATAACCAGGTTTTGGCGTAAGCATAATTTATCCAAACAAGATAATTATTGCACATAATGATGTTCTCCAGACTTTTCCAGCGCTTGAATGCTAAGTAGATGACTTTTTAGGTGACATTGGTTGCAATGGGTCATATAAACACCTTGCCTTGGTATGGTATGTCAACACCTATCGACATGTACACACGTGGCCGACACTTGACGATCATCAACTTCTGATTACATTTCAACATATTTTATATATGTTGTGCATTTTTTTATCACAAAATGCATAACGTCAGTGTGTTAGCACTAACATTCATGATCAAGACATCCACGGTTCTAATCCTGCCAAATAAAATATAAATGCAAGAAGGACTAAATTTTTTAACCCCATGTACTGGAGTGCCATCACAATGTAGCTATTGAAGTATCTCTAGTTATATTTTAGTAAACTTATATATTATACATATGTCAGAAAAAATACTAGCTTTTTAACCCTACGTAATGGACACCTATATTGATATTCATGTCAGTATCCATATAACACTGGTTGCAGCAGCATCTTTGGATGCTACTTTTCACCCCTTTCGAAGAACATAAAACACTTAAAAAGTGCTGCCATAAAAGGTGAAGAAAAGTGGCAACCACAGGACATGATCCCCCTGCACACAAGTACATCAGGCAAATTTCACAAAGGTCTCGGATGACTCAAACTAATTCTTGATAGGCCTCAAACTTTGAACTCTTTTCCATCACAATTTTTTTTCACGTCACAGATACACCCTAAACCATTTCTATTCTTAAAAGAGAATCGTAAACTCCGACCCAAAAGAGAAGTTAGAAAAAATAAACAAGGAGAGAAAAAATCTATAGTTGAAAAAAGAATATATAAACCTTCAAATAATCAAGCATCAAATATGCTTGCTGCCATTCATGTGAGGCTCTTTGTCACAAGGAGGTGGCACACCAAAAACCCAATCGAGGACATTCAAATATTTGGATCGAAACACTTCTCTCTCTTGTGCATAGCAATGCATGATAATGGCAGTTGACAGGCTGAACACTATCACATCAGCTCTCCTCAATCTCTTGGAGGGGGGGACATAGCCTGCATGTGCCAAGCATGTGAAGAAGCTCTCTATTGCCCGAGCAAAGCAGTAGAGAGAGATTTCCATGCGCCTCGTCTTCTTCTCTATCATCAATGCCAGGCCAGGAGGAAACTGCATACATCATCAAATATTCAAATGACCAAGGAAACAAAGCAGTGGCAATGAGGGATCTTGGAATGAAAAGAATATAAGTTGGTGTTTCTAATTGAATTTCTCTAACACTACAAAATTTTTAGATTGAGGCCAAATATCAGCTAACTTTTCACCTCATTTTTTATGGGAACTTGCAAAATGAGCACCATTTTGAAAAACATGGAAAAATATCAGTACTCACTCTCATGGATTTTGGTATCATCATCTCTCTCTCTCTC